AGGAAAGCCAGTTCAGTTTTTTGTGGGTCTCCAGGAATGTGAATGAGGAGACTCTTGATGGCAATTTGGTCGCCCCGTAACACAACGGTTGCCTGTTTGATCTTGGGACTTCGAAATGCAAATGCAGGGCGTGAGGTGCAGACTCATTTGTTTTAAACGCAATACATACTTGCTGGCCTGCACCAAAAAAGTAAAATTAGCGATCAGCTGTCACAAAGGTGATTTCTGGATATTTCATAGAGGGAAACAAAAACAAAAGCTTTTTCACTTCGCCCGAAAAAATACTTACAGCAGTCAAGATAAGGGTTCATAATTTTCGTAAGAAGACACACCCTGAATGTCAGTAAACACTTACTCGGCAGCTGCATGGTTATTCAAAGGCGACCAGAACAGAGTTTTTTACTTGGCAGACAGCGTTCAGCAGACCTCCCACTGCAAGACAGAACGTACAGCTTCGAAAAGCCCCTATCGCTTACTTGAGAGCTATTCTGTGACTCGGAAATATCATTTGTCATCACTGTGGAGTGCAAGTGACTGGCATAGCAGTGTTGGCCAGATGCTTTAGAGTATTTCTATAAAGAAAGGAAACGGTGAACCTGCAAGAGACCTTTTTTCTACAGGAATCAGAAAGCCATTGACGAATTACCCGTGCATCTTGCCAATAACGGCTACGGTAGATAGGGGCTTCATATCAGTCATTTCGCTTCATATTGTACTTCGCAAATGAAGCGATATGAGCACCAGTGTCGGTTGGAAATTTGTCGGCAGGCGGATTCGAGTTGGTATGTTGTAGCTGGACAGGGCGCTATAATGGTACCTTCCTTGGAAAAGGCACCACGCAGCGCTTTCTCAGGAACGCTAAACTCAGTTCTGCTAGGCGTATTAGCTAGTCGCTAGCCGCACTAGTTGGATATTGAGGCCTTAAGGTAGGAGTCAGGAGATTACTCTGAAAAAACTACTTCTGCTAATGTCACTGTTCCCATATCACACCATTCATTTGACAACCTTTGCGTTTTGAACGTGTTCATCTCCAAGCAGATCTTATGACCAGCCACGTTGGACTCGCCTGCCATTCTTTGAACTGACTGCCTTATCACATATTAAGACAATGTGGCCCTTCACATGAAATTATTTACCAAAGTGATTCTAAAATACCGGGACTTTGGTGCAATGGTGATCCCAGTTTCCTTTGGATAGTGAGTCTGCCGTGAAGTAAGCATCAGAAAGTTACTGTGTGATACTTTAATTCCGTTTAATGACATTTACTTGAAAAAGTAACAGTGCTCATGCAACAACCCAATATTTAGAGCAAAGGAAGGGAAGGGCAATGAGAGTACCAGAATTCTTCATGCTTGATGAATCACTGTTATGAAATGAATCCACAGATTGTCCTATTAGGGCTACACGAGGACTCCATTTATTTGAAAACACATTACGCAATGACTAGCTACTAAGAATGCCTAAAAGAAGAAAGCGTCCTTCTGATCATTAGAAAAATAATAAAAAAATAGCACAAAAAGCGAAAACAGGGCAAAAACTGTACAGGAGGGGGGGGCAACAAGAAGACAATTCGACCAAGTCACATATCAGCAAAGTTTTCGCAGCCCAAAGGAGTGGATACGAGGGCGATAGATACCCAATATGTTCCTCGATAAGGAGGAGCTGGCTCTCTCCCATCACCTTCATGTACACCAAAATATGAAGTCATCTCCAGTAGCAGCCTGCCTGGAAAAGGCTCATGGAGTTCATGTCACCTCCAAACAGCTGCGAAACTTCTAGAATGGAGTCACCCATGGATAGCTACCTAAAGACCAGTACTCTTGATCTGGGAGATCTCCAACATGGAGCAGCTCTGACAACTTCGCCACGGTCTTGGACATCACCTGCACCGTAGTCGCCAAGGCGCAGTTTGATGGTATGGACCTGACATACCTGGAATGGGAGGACCAATATTTTCTTCGTGGAGCCCGGACTGAAAGTGAGCGCTGGCCGAGCGCTAATCGAAGGGCGTTGGAAAAACACTCGCATACTTGGAATGGAAGGGCGTTGAGTACCTGAAGAAGATGGAATATTTAAGCAGGTCACCTGAACCCACAATTACCTGGTTTGGGCGGAGTTCAATAGGGTGGTCTACAGTAACGGAGAAATCAACTATCAGGGTGTACGGAAAGTTTTGAGAAACTTCAACCAGCTCGTTTAATACTTATCAACAACAATAAGAGATAGTAGTTCAGAGTTATAATGAATACTGTCCATTCTATTTCCCTTACTTTTTGGAGGATCACCTTGCGAGGGAGCTAGAACTAAGCGAGTACTGACAATGAAAGGGCGTACGCAAAATCTAAACTAAGCTTGCATGGAAGGTACCGATTGATCTCCTAGCATAAATAATTTCGAAGCGCATTTTATCCAGCATCGGAGGCGATTCCCCATTCCCGATCTGACCGATAGAGGAGCTAGGACGGTGAAGATCAAGTGAAAGGCGTTGGGAGTCGTGCGCACTCGTGCATTTTCAGGTAATGTCAAATCATACCTACAATGGAGAAGAGCATTAACCAGCATTAGTGTTGATCTACAAACACTTCTCTTTCTCATACGCATTTGATGTACTCCTTTATGCGGGCTCATTCGCTTGCTACACATCTTCTACTAAACTAAAGGTGTGAGATATTAGGTTGGGTGCATAAGTTCTTAGCCCGGTTTTGATCCTCTCCGTATTTCGTTCCGCATGGATGTTGGTATTACGTCATCACGTGTGCGTGACGTTGTACATTATACTCTTTCATTACACTAGCTATCACTCACCGAGCTTGCATTTGCAGTACACAATGTCGCACAATTTCCACTGTGACAAAATGTACCTGCCGCACTGCCTGGTATTGCTTAACGATTCACAAAAGAGCTTACACTCTTCTCAATTCGATAATCACTAGAGGTGAGCAGTTGGTCCTCTACGATAACCATGTGAGGAAGCGGCAGTGGGTCGACAAAGGAGAACAGCCAGAAGCCACCCAAAAGGCCGACCTTCATCACAAGAAGGTTCTTCCTGTCCTGTTGGCTGGTCAGAAGAGGCATGGAGTACTGGAGCTGCTGGAGAGGGGACAGACGATTGACGCTTCCACACATGTTACCCAGCTGCGCAAATTGAAAGATCATGTCGACCGTACTCGTGGATCGAATGCGGATATCTACTCCACCATGACAATGCCCGACCTCACACCGCAAAGGCGACCCAGGCCGAGCTGGAGAAGTACGGATGGCTGATGCGTCGCCCACCCCCCCCCCCCTACAGCCCTAACATCGCTCCTTCTGACTACAGGCTGTTCAATCACTTGCAGCGCTCTCTGAACGGAAAAAAGTTCGTAAAAAGGATCAGGTCAGAAAGGCACTCGACGACATCTTCAAGTCCCAGCCCCGTCATTTCTGGAAGGAAGGAATCGACAAGCTGCCTGAGCGCTGGCGTCGAGACCTCTAATCTTCAGGTTGGTTCGCTATTAAGATATTTACGAAAAAATGCTAAGGCTAAGAGCCCATGCACCAACCTAATATTTCCAATCTTTCCGGACAACCTAATACCTCGCAGATCTCAGGCACCGAATCGCGGTCGCGCGCCAGAATCTCTCAATGGCGATTGTTCAGAAGGCGTTGAAATGTCCGATCAGTATCCAATAGAGTGTAACTTATAGCGTCTCGAAAGTCAAAGAAGTAAAAGTCGTTTTTTTTCGTACCCCCCCCCCCCCCTGTGTATAAAACAGCCCAAAATCCAGGTTGGAGCCTAAAAAAGGATTGGTCCATTGTAACACTTTCTCACAATGGCGCAGGAAGAGTAAGGCTGCATTCTCCTCCAAACGGTAAGAAACTGATATAAACTGATCATGATATAAAAAGACTTTGGAGACTACTGTACCAGGTTTATTTTCGATTGCTGGACAAGCTTTGGGAATAACGGCAGACAATTGAGTGAAAGTCAACATTTCATCGACAGATAACAGACAGGGCACGTCCTGCTGTTGGGAAATGAAGTGATCAACGGCCAGCTTCATTTATTAACTTTATCCTATGTCCTTTTATCACTCGCGCAGTCGTGAGTTCAAATCCTGGGTCGACTCCGCCCAGCCGAGGTCAGCCAAGTCTTCTACCTTCCTGAGACAATAAATTGGTACCAGATTCATCTGGAGGATAAGAACAGTGACTTGTACATTTATTTATTTAGTTATTTGTTTATTTATTTAATTAATGCATGCACCACAGGCACACGAAACAACTGCAAATCCGAAAAAAAACTAACTGACAAAATTAACCTAACAAAATTCCGATGGGATAATTGAATAAAGAAATCGATGAAAAGCTAAAGTTATGTAATTCAACTCGGAAAGCACCAACTCCTCAAGTATCAGCGTAGTGTCAGAAATGAGAATAGTAAGCCAAATGTTGACAGGCTGTACATCCGGCCGACTCCTGCAAGTCCATAGACCACATCGCATTCAATGAGCCTCTATTTTTTAGTGGAAGTAGAATGCGAGCCACATCCACAAAGGGATCAATCAATGGCGGGGAATTTAGCCTTTATTTTTATCCCTCGAACGACTAAGGGAAGGGGACATCCTTCCAATAAAAGTGATAACTTAGGCGCCGGGAGGAACTTCTTTAACCTGGCTGATTGATTACTTGAACCCTGTTTTTGTTAAACGATTTTGCGTGAGCTTCTAATACTGCAACGATGAGTACATTTCGTTAATTTAAAAGATGAGTTTAAGAGTTAAACGCGAAATTTGTTTTAGTTATCCCTAATAGACCCTTCACAGAACGTCCTTCTAGTTAAGAAGGCGTCGTTCTGTCGAAGGTACGTGTAGTATGTAGGTTCTCTAACAGAGGCTGTTTCACGGAAGATCCGACCGGAAGATTGCTGCAGGATTGCGGCAACGGTTCACAACCGGTCATGCGTTGACAGCTTGTCGCGAGTGACCGGCCATTTCCCGAAATTTGGGCACATATAAGAGATGCCGGCAGTGGCTGAGCACCTCAGCAAAAGCTTCCATTTCTATCACTCCTGTGGAATGGCTACTCTTCAAAGAGTTTTGTTCAGTTCCGTTATCATCGGAATTGTGGCATTCTTCTATGAAGTTCAGGTTCGAATTTCTCACGCAACTACATTAGTACACAATCTTTATGTATAACCTAAAGCCCTTTTATGTTAAAATGCTATCTTTAAAACTGATATGTGTAAGCTTCAGGGAGCTCCGACGGAAACTGCCTTGCGCATTTTGGACAGCAGTCTCTCAGCAAACACCACGGAAGTGAGTGCGGAAGAGCAGAATCGAGTGAAAAGACAAGGAGGTGGTGGCTGTGGATGCGGATGTGGCTGCTGTGGATGTGGTGGCGGTGGAGGAGGTTGCGGTTGCTGCTGTTGTAGGCCACGGTAAGCATTTGCGAGGCAAATTATCATTTTTGAGTATACACTTTTTCTAACCCTCTCGATAAGCTTCTAGTGGGGTAATGCTTACGAATATTTCTACGCGAATCAGCTCGGCTTAAGTCGCCACAGCTAGCGAACCCTCCGAATACAGATAATTGTACTCGAGTTTTCAACGACGGTCATATCACTCAGCTTCACCTCTTATAACCATTTGCTTTTGCAGATACGACCTAGACCCTTGGAGGCTCCAATCTGTTGGGTTGACACTTTCTCGCTTTTTTACTTGATAGATATAATCATATATTGTCGCAATCAGTCGGGGCGGTGTAGGAGGGTGGAATAAGCCCGTCGCCAGGTGCATTTTCTACTAGTGGTAATCCGCTCGTGATCGTTTCAATAAGAAAGCAACCGGCAGGTAAGACCATACAGTTCTTCTCGAAACAGCCCCGTCTGCTTGCGATGTTACAAAGTGTAGATATAGATGGATAGATGAGGTGCAATGGCGAGTAGCCCCTCTAAAGCAGCGAGTGGCCCAGCAGCCGGATTACCTGATTTGTGCTCTCTCGGCTCATCCAAGCGTTTCATTTTCCAAGGCAGTTGATATGATACAACCCTTGCCTGATAGGCTTAATGGGTCAAGTGGTACCCAAGGGTTTTGCAATCCTGAATCGGATTGAAATTTATCGAAAAATGCTCTGCGTATCCAAAAAAGATTGATTTATGCCGGAAGTTCCAGACCTCTGAAACATAGGTTCTGCTATTATGGAAAGAAACTGGGAAAGTCCAGCAACGAATATGCAGTAAGCAGACCCCATTACTTTTCATTGCCTATAGGGAGCAAGATGCTACACGATTTTGAACTCCTTCCCCCGTCACGCGTCACATTAGAGTGGCTCCTCACACTATTTAGGCACGATCTGCATAAACTTTAAATCCTGGGTCAAACAACATGGCCAAGCAAGCTTTTGGATGCCACCACAGAGAGGAAAAGAACACTGACCATCAGCCGGAGTCTAATCATCTAACAAAATAGTAAAATTAAGCCTTTCACATACGATATTCCCTACAGAATCCAGTTGCACTGTGCATTCCGGAAATGATTTAACCTTGATCCTTTGGAGCTTTTGGAAACAAAATGTATGCTTGAGCGTTTTCGTAAAAAAAATTACCGGGGATATGCAGAAGGGAAAAGCAGCATCTTAACCAGGCAAGGTTCGCCGATCGTTTGACTCGTCTGTAAGCCCAGTTATTTCAGATGTTGCTGCAAGTGCACCACTTGCCGTACTTGTTGCTGTACTCGATGCTGCACCTGCTGCCGACCATGTTGCGGATGTGGTATGCAAAAAAATCGTCTTGTTCAGTTCAGATAGTCTGGTAATCCACAATTACTTTTATTAGGTTGCGGCTGCTGCGGATGCGGTGGTGGAGGCCGTAAACGTCGTTCGCTCGACAACCTCAGAATTCTGCTTGGTGCCAAGAACTCTGCAGAGCTGAAAGGAAAAGAACTGTCGACAGCTGAACTCCCACGGCAGAAACGGGTAAGTGCATTCTATTTCTGAATATCCCTAGACTTTAGATTATGAACTTATTTGCAGGACATCATGTGCCACGACGAGTGTGTCCCTTCGATTGGCGGTGGTTTTGATCATGATCACGAGTTTACGGGGATTACTGAGGGCCTGGATCAATACATCGTTTAAATTATTCAATAAATAATTATTATTTTAAATCCGTCCTACTGCAAAAGTGACCTCGAAGGCAGGTGGCACGATAATTTGGTGCTCGATCTAAAATGCCAGCAGGACTCTATATAAAGAGGAAACTGGCGAAAAAACGAAGTGAAACGGTGAAAAACCTGCGGAGAAAAGCATTCGTTCTCAATGACTAAGAAGGCAATTTCGCACGAGTTCCCCGTAGGCACGTTGCCAATAACGTTACGGTAGCTACGGCTGCGCATATGTTCTCACGTATACATGCATCACCGCGGCCGCTTCATACCAATCCTTTCGCTTCATATTTCACTTGACAAATGAAGCAATAAGCGTATCAAGAACGGACCTTTCTTGAAAAAGGCGCTACGCAGCGCCTGCTCAGGGTCGCTGAATTCAGTCCTGCCATACATACTAATCCTTCTCGTCTTGGGCAGCGTTCATACAC